CCATCCCCCAGCAGCACCCGATCCCCCACTCACCGCCCTCAGGAGGTCCACCATGCCCACGGCGCTCTGGCTGAAGCCCTCCGAGTCCTCGAGGGCCACGAACTCGTCCTGGTCCACCTCGCGCTCCAGCTCCCCGAAGGCCAGGTGCTTGCTGAGGGCCAGCCAGTGGGTCAGGCCGCTCGAGAAGCTGTGGCGGTACTCCTGTGGGATCAGGTGCTGCGGCAGGTCGCTCTTGACGGTCAACCTGGAGGAGGAGGAAGTTCAGAAACATTTTAAAACCTTGATTATAGAGAATATTTTCTACTTTATTCTATTTTTTTCTTATTTCTGGCTAGTAAATACATAGAATAAATGACTATAGAGAACATTTTCTATTTTCATCCCATTTTTTCATATTTCTGGTTCGTAAATAAATAGAAAAAACAAAAGATTAAAATGAACATTTTCTATTTTCATTCAACTTTTCATATTTCTGATTCGCAAATAAATTGAAAAACTCTCCAAACTCACTTATTTATCTCGCTCAGATTATCACACAGCATCCACGCGGATTTGAGGGCTGGGGGCAGGACCTCCTCCTTCTGCAGTAGCTGGATGCCCTCGTCGACGTCGAAGTCCAGCAGGGGCTTCACCAGCATCTGCGCCGCCGTCAGGAGCTTCGGCATCACCAGGTACAGGTAGTCGACCCCCATCTCTCTGGTTGGGGGAGAGGGGAGGGGGTGAGAGGAGGTGGAGGGAAGGTGAGAGGGAAGGAGGAGGAAAGGGGGATGGGGTAGGGAGAATAGGGGAAGGGAAGAGGGAGAGGGGAAGGGAAGGGAGGAGGAAGGAGAAGGGGAAAGAAGGAGAAAGAGGGAAGGGAAGGGGTAGAAGACGAGGATAGGGGAAAGGGAGGGAACGAGGATGGGAGGAGGGAGGAGGGAGGTAGGGAGGGGGAGAGGGGAGAGAGGAGGGGAGAGAGAGGGGGAAGGGAAGGGGGAAGGGAGGGAAGGAGAGGGAAGGAGAGGGAGAGGAGAGGGAGAGAGGGAAGAGAGAGGGAGGGGAGGGGAGGGGAGGGGAGTGGAAGAGAAAGGAGCGGGGGAGGGGAGGAGGAAGGGGAAAGAGGGGAATGGAGGGATGGAGGAGAAGAGAAGGAGGGGGAGATAGGAGGGATTATTTGTGTTGTGATTGGCTGCTCAGGTGATTGGAGTTTCATAATTGGTCGTTTGGGTGATTGTTGTGTTATGATTGGCTGTTCCTGTGATTGGAGTATCAAAATTGTTCGTTTGGGTTATTGGTGTGTAGTAATTGGCTGTTCGGATGATTAGAGTATCGTAATTAGTCGTTTGGGTGAATGGCGTGTTGTGAATGGTCGTTTGGTTGAAGTTATATTTGTTACTTTGAGTGATTGACGATTTATGAATGGCGGTTTGGGGATTGACCTGTTGTGCTTTCGATGACTGGTGAGTTATGATTAGATTTAAATGAATGAGTGTGATTAGCTGTTAGATTTGCTTGGCGGTTCGAATGATTGCTGTCTTGTGATTGGTCGTTTGCGTGACTGGTATGTTATGATTGGCGAAAGGCTTGATTAGTAAATTGTGATTGGTCGTAAGGATATCTTTCACCCATATCTATTGTTTATATTTTATCTCACATCAGTATTTAAGACCACGATACTTATATTATCTTATTTCACATACTTACCACTTTACATTACATCTTATCTCACAGCAGTACTTACAACCACCAATACTTACGTTAACATCTCACCCACAACAGTACTTAAAGGCCCCCCATACTTACATCATAAGAATGGGCTGGTAAGTGTGCATAGAAATGGCCAAGAAGTTGAGAATAGGGTTGGTGAGGAGTCCCGCCCTCCTGAAGGACTCTTGCCACACTTGCCACTCGGTAGGAACCTCGAGGACGACCTCCCTGGACTCTGAGGCGCTGGGGGCACTCTTCAGCTCCTCCTTGTAGAGGGCGTCGATCCTGGAGGAGGTCAGGTCAGGTCAGGTGGGATAGGGGGGAGGGCGAGCGTTATGATGGTTTTTGATTATTCGTTGTGATTGTTATTTCCTAGTATTATTAAATAGATGTATTATTATATATTATCTTCCTTTTATTTCCTTATCTTACATTATATTGTTGTTATATTATTATATATTATCATTATTATTATCATACATTATATTAAAAAAAAATTCTCATGCCACCACCCCTCAAAAAAAAAAATCTTATACCCCCCAAAAAAAATCTCATAACCCCCCAAAAAAATCTCACACCCCTCCAAAAAAGAAAAAAATCTCACACACCCCCTTCCCCCCCCCCCTGGGAAACTACCCCAGTCACACCCAAACCCGCAAAAAAAAAAAAAAAAAAACATACCAGGTGTCGACGTGCTTGCTCAGGGCAGCCAGGAGCAAGTCGGTGACGCAAGCCGGCAGACCCTGGGTTGACAACTCGTGTTCGAAAGGCTTGCGGAGTTCGTAACAGTACTCGACTGTGTGGAAACATCTGTGGAGGATTTTTAGGGATTATTAGGAGATTTTTTACACGAAATGTTGGGGTATTGGTGGGTTATTTAAAATCTGGATATTTGGGGAGATTTGAGACTTTGTTTGTTGTTTCTTTTGGTGGGTTATTAAAGATTTGGAAGATTTTTTGGGATTTTAAAATTTATTCGGCAAATTTTATAAGAAATGTTGGGATTTTTGGTAGGTTGTTAAAAATCCATAAGAGATTTTTGGGGGATTTCAGTTTATTCGGCATATTTAAACAGAAAGTTGGAATTTTTGCTGGGTAATTAAAAATCTGTGAGATATTTTTACACGAAATGTTGGGATTTTTGGTGGGTTATTAAAATCTGTGAGATATTTTGGGGGGATTTCTGAGATTATTGGGCGAATTTTATAAGAAATGTTTTTATGGTGGGTTATTACAAATCTGGTAGATATTATGGGGGATTTCTGAGTTCATTCGGCGAACTTACACGAAATGATGGGATTTTTGCTGGGTTATTAAGAATATTGTGAGATATTTTTTAAATGTGGTTTTCGTTAAAATATAAAACTATATAAAACGGTGCAGTTTATAAAAATATGGTTCAGTTCCAGTAATCGGAAATTTTGGCTTCTTTATATTCAACAAAAACTGCGAGGTCTAAAGATAATGTTTAATAGCATCAGCCTTAAAACTGAGAAGTAGTTTTAATTGTTGCAACAGTAATTGATATATTAACTGAAATAGTAGCAGTAGTAATGGTAGTAGTGGTAGTAGTAGAAGTAGTAGTAGTTGTAGCAGTAGTAGTAGCAGTAGTAATAGTAGCAGTAGCAGCAGCAGCAGTAGTAGTAGTAGTAGTAATAGCAGTAGTAGTATTAGCAGTATAAGTAGTATCAGTAGTAAAAGTAGTTGTTGTAGCAGTAGCAGCCGCAGTAGCAGCATTGGTAGTAGTAGTAGTAATATCAGTAATAGTAGAAATTTTAGTGGTAGTGGTAGTGGTAGTGGTAGTGGTAGTGGTAGTGGTAGTGGTAGTGGTAGTGGTAGTGAGTAGTAGCAATGATAGTAGTAGTTTTAGTAGCAGCATTCACATCCACTTCTCCCTTCAGAATGACCAAACTTCCTTACCTGAGGTAGTTTTCCAGCCTGGGGAGTTCGACGAGCAAGGAGGTGCTGGGGAAGGAGGTGTGAAGCATCTCGAATTCCTTCGTTAACACATGTCGTACCCAGGAGGACAGGGTCGTGCAGATTTCTCGTCTCTGTGGATTCATTGTGAGGATTTATATTTTAAAAAATAACGGGATTTTTTCGTATGTTGTTTGGGATGTGTTTTGTATTAGTTTTGTTGTTGTTTTAGTTATTGTTATTATTGGTTTTGTTGTTTTAGTTGTTTTTAATATTTTTTGTTGTTGTTGGTATGGATTTTTCTTGTTCTTATGTATTTTGTTGATTTTATTGTTGTTCCTGTTTTATTTCTCTTATATTCATTAAATGTTGTTGCTGTATTTCCAATTGTTATCGTCATAACTGTTAATAAAAGTATCGTCCTAACAGGCATTTATCTCCACCATCTCCACCACTGCCATCTCCATTTCCCTTATCATCAATAATCATCGCCATTATTGCATAATCAAGTTAATATCATCATATGTGTAACTAACGAACGAACGAGTTAGAACGAGAGAGAAAAGAGAGAAAAGAGAAGAAAGAGAGAGAAAGAAGAGAGAGAGGAGAAGGAGAGGAAGAGCAGAGAGGAAGAGAGAGAAAACGAAGAGACGAGAGGCACAGGACAAGACGAAGAGAGGGAGAGGCGAGAGAGAAGGAAGCGGAGGAAGAGAATCAGAGAGAGAGAGAAGAGAGAGAGAGAGAGAGAGAGAAGAGAGAGAGAGAAGAGAGAGAGAGAGAGAGAGGTAGAGAGAGAGGCGGGAGAGAGAGGAGAGAGAGAGGGAGCATGAGAGAGAGAGAGAGAGAGAGAGAGAGAGAGAGAGAGAGAGAGAGAGAGTAGGACAGAGAGATACATGTATTTAAAATATCTACATGTATCAGAAAACATGTATTAAATTCTACTAATAGGAAAAGACGGGAAAGTGTATGAATTACTGATTTCCAGTGTTCTGAATCATGATGATAAATAATAATAATATTCAGTAGGTATGTTTCAAAATAGGTCTAAGTCAAGCTTATCTTGCGGACCTGAATGTGGATCAAACACGCTTATCTTTTATCTCAAGTACTGATAATGTGAACTGTCATCGCTTAAAAAAAAATCGTCCATTAAGAATTCCCAATATAGATCATTAACAATTATTTGCTTCTTGAATTCCTGATAAAAACATTGCTTATTGAAATTTTCGTTTCCGCGTTATCGTTTTCAATCTGCCTTTACCCTACGATTTTATTTTATTTCCTTATAATGCATCTGTTACGAGAGATAAGATCGTTGTGATGGGTCGGTAGAGAAACGATATTTTTACCTCTCTCAAGAATACATCAGTTTACCATTTAGGATTTTACTTTTACGTTTTCTATGAATCGAAGAAAGAAAACTAGCTTCTAGGTAGGCTAAACTAAACTGGACAGTTATTTTTCTTTTTTAGTTCTAGCTTTCAAAGGATGATGAGCGTGGAACGTAAGTGTGCTTTACAAACATAAATAATCGGATTTTAAATGTCTTAAATGTTAAAAAATGGTACAAGAAGCAAAGGCAAGAATTCAAGAAGGTTATATCGAAACATTTTTGTTCTTAATTGTGAATTAGACAATGAAAAGCAACTCCCCTTTCCTCTTTGTTCACACCTAAAAATAATTTAGGAATTCAGGAAAAAAAGAAGAGAAGAGGAAAGAGATGTTGAAGAGAGAGAGAGAGAGAGAGAGAGAGAGAAGAGAGAGAGAGAGAGAGAGGAGAGGAGAGAGAGAAAGACAGAGAGAGTGAGAAGGAGAGAGAGAGAGGAGAGAGAGAGAGAGAGAGAGAGAGAGAGAGAGAGAGAGAGAGGAAGAGAGAGAATAGAGAGAGAGAGAGACAGAGAGAGAGAGAAGAGAGACAGAGAGAGACAGAGAGAGACAGAGAGAGACAGAGAGAGAGAGAGACAGAGGAGAGACAGGGGGAGACAGAGAAAGAAGACAGAAGACAGAGAAAAAGACAGACCAACAGAGAAAAAAAAGACAGACAGACCGACATAGAGGACAGACAGACAGAGAGACAGACAGAGACAGACAGAGACAACCTACATACCAAATTCCATCTCACAACAGTACCCCACCTCCTCAAAGACCCCCAACACCCCTCCCACCCCTCCGCCCAACCCCCACACTCACCTGCGTGGTCACATACCGCCTGGCGACCAAGTTGTCCCTCACGCCCTTGAGCAGCGGCAGAAGGAGGCCTGGGTCGAGCGGCTTCACCCTCGTCAGGACCAGCCCACGTGATGCAAGGTCCTGTGCCACTCCTCGATCCTTGAGAAGAAGGTCAGCTGCTGGAGGACGCACGTCGACCTCCACGCGCAAACCACCTCGCCGCGTGAATGATGTACTGCGTGAGGTCCTTCATGTCGTTGATATGTTAGTGGAGAGGGGATGAAAGGTAAGAGTAGGGGTAGAATGCAGTGAGTTGGGGCGAGATGTAGCATGGTTGGAATGGGTTTGTGGCTGGGGAGAGGGTGCAAGAGTAGTGTGTGGTTGGAACATCGTTAAGGTGAAGGGGAGATAAGTGAGGACGGGGTAAGGGTTGAGTTGATGTGTATTCTGTTATGTTTGATTTAATGTTATGATCATAATCATTTGATCATTTAATAGCAAGTAACATTTAATCATCAATCGTGATCATTCATCATTATCATTATTACTCCATGATTATTGATTCATTATCAGTTGAAGTTATCAACAATTTATTGTTTATTATCAAAAATCATCATTATCCTTACGATTTCACAACCATACTATCATTCATTCAATAATATCGACAAAAAACCCGTTATTCAATCATATCTAACATAATCATCACCTCAAGGATGTGCCTTAGTTAACGCGATAATCCATCACCAACAAGCAAATCACTCACACCATCCCGCCACCTATTCATTCACTCCCGCTCGCTCATTCCACGACATAACCATTAGTCGTCCACCTGCATAAATGCGACGAGCTTCCTTGTCATGAGAGTATGGTGATGCTGTAGGTTGTCATACGCCGCGTTCTGCTCGGCTCAGACGCTCGCGGGGCGTCTGGATGTAGCGCGCCATACCCGCAGCGAATGTGCGAAGACTTGCAGAGGAACACCAATCGGAACCCCTCACGTCCCTCAGCACGCGCCCGTTGCAAATCGATGCTAGAGACGCCCACGCCGCCCTTGGTGTGTGATTGTCGACCCTTCTGTGGGACGGGGGGCCGTCAAGGACTCTCGTCCACAGGGTCGGTGATCTGTGAAATGCAGGGTCATGGGGAACCAGCTCGGTCCCGGTCGTCCAGAGGTGACCTACCACGTCCCTGGGGAGGGGGAGAGAGGGGAGAGGGGGAGAGGGGGTGAGTGGGTTGCAATTAGGCAGTGATATAGGTGGAACGGTCTAGGAAGGTCGGATGGGAACCAGCTCTCGGTCGTCCAGTGTGGAAACCCTACCACGTCTCTGGGCGGGGAAGAGGGAAGAAGGGGAGAAGGAGAGGGGATGAGGGGTACTACGGGGAGGGGATGTGAAGATAGTAGAAAAGTTGCGGTGAGTGCGTGAACTGTGAGGTGGAATGGTGAGGAGCCTGAGTGGAGATGAAGTTAATAGGGGGATGGGGGAGTGGCGGTCCCTGAGAGGAAGAGCGGGGAGGTGTATATAGGGGGTTGTGGTGGGTTGGGGGATCGAGGTGTAATGGCGACGAGTGAGATAGTGGGTGGTGGGTGACGTTAGGAGAACGGGAGGGGAGGGATGAGATTAGGTGAAGGTTGGTTGATTGTGAGTGGTTGGAAGCTGAATGAGGGTGTGAGGAAGGGTACGTGTGGTCGAGGGATGGGGAGAGGAATGAAGGACCGGGGAGAGGTGAGACAGTGGATTTGGTTGGGAAGAGTGTGAGAAGGTGGGAGTAGGGGAGATAGAAAGGAAAGGAGAGTAAAGGAGTGGGGGACTTTTACTCGTGGTTATAAATCAGAAGATGAGTAGCAGAATGAAGGAGAGAATGAGATGGGGAGTGGGGAGGTGAGGAAAGGGTAGTGGTTTGATGTGGGTGAGGTGGGAGATGCGTGAGAGTGGCGATGGGGAAAAGGAAGGGGAAGGTGAGGCAATAGTTGGGTTGCGTGAGTGAATGAGTGAGTGAATAAGTGAGTGAATGAGTGAGTGAGTGCGTGAGTGGGTAAGGAGGGGAGAGAGTAACTGGGTGAGTGATTGGGTGTGTAAGAGAGTAAGCGCGTTAGTGAATGAAGGAAGGAATGAACGAATGAGTAAGTGTATGGATGAATGCCTGAGTGAGTGAGTGAGTGAGTGAGCATGGATATGCACCCATGCTTACAAATGAGACAGATACGTCAGTAAATTCACGGAAAATGAAGAAAACCTGACATACACTGTAAACTATCACTGTTATTCTGTATGCGATTGATTGGCTGAGTATGGCTGAGTAAGCAAGTAGATGAGTGAGTAGATGAGAAATTGGCTGAGTAAGTAAGTAGATGAGTAATAGGGTAAGTGAGTACAGGATCATGTCAGCCATCTATATGTGCTCATGTATCTCATTCGTACCTGACGCAAGGACCACTTTACCTTGATGGGGATCTTGACGTGGCCGAGGAGGTCCGCCTTGAGGTGCGCCTTCCCGATGGACGCCAGGTACTCCCTGATGCCGTCGGGGTTGTCGGCGACGGGCGACGCCCTTCCGTTCTGCGAGCTCCAGCCCTCCGCGTCCTCCTCCTGCGCCTTCTTGCTGCTGCTCCTGTCCCGCAGGTTCCTGAAGGCCCTGAGCGTCCTCTGGTCCTTCCACTTGTTGAAGATGCTCCTGGGGACGGTGATGGAGGACGCGGCCAGCGCCCGCTCCAGGCGTGGCGACTCGCGCTCCGCCTCCGCCTCGGGGCTCTGCGCGCGCTCGCCGTCCACGCCGTCGTCGCGGTCGCCCTCGCCGAAGGGGTTGTGGTCGGTCGTGTAGCTCTGCTGCGCCACGTCGTCGTCGAGGCCCTGCAGCGAGAGCTTGCTGGCGCAGGCGGCCTCCTGCAGGGAGTAGCTGCCCTTCTTGTAGCCGCGCTCCTTCATGCTGCCGATCCTGCGGAAGACCTCGGTGGCCTTGCTGGAGGCCAGGCGCATGCTCATGCTGCGCTTCGTGATGGACGCGATGCTCAGCGAGCTCAGCGACCTCTGCAGCTTGCTCTTGCCCCCTCGCCTCCCAGCGTCTGGCTGTGCGCCGCCCGCGCCTCGTCGTCCTCGTCGAAGGGCGCGGCGGCGTCCGACGCATCGGAACGGATCGAGTTGGAGTCCGGCGCCCGCTTGGCCAGCGTGGGCGAGGCGGCGCCCTCGGCGGCCTGCAGGTTGTGGTTGTGGTTGAGGCCCCTGCGGAGGCTGGAGCGCAGGGAGGCGCCCATGCTGCGCAGGCCGCGCGCCTTCGGCTTCTTCTTCTCGGAGGCGAAGGAGAGGTCGTCGTCGGCCACGTTGGAGAGCTCCAGGTCCTGCAGGCTGGACGACCTGCCCGCCGCCGCCGCCGCCGGCGTGCTGGTGCGCAGCTGGTCGGCCGAGTGGTCGGAGCCGATGGACGTGGTGTCGAGGACGCCCTGCTCGGGCGGCGGCGCCCCGTTCCACGCCCGCGTCTCGTCGCCGTTCGCCTGCTGCTCGTGGGCGTCGTCGTCTTCGTGCTTGTCGTGGTCGTTGGTGTCGTCCTTGGGGCTTCTGGCCTTGGGGCGCCCCTCCGCCCGCGCCTTCCGCTCCTCCCACAGGGACGTGTTGATGACGGGCGTGTCGTCGGCGTGGTCGCACTCGTCCGCCACCAGCCTCGCCGGCGCCGCCTCCGCCTCGCCCTTCGGGGCGGCCGGCCTCCTGCGGGGCGCGGAGCAAGGGCGTGTTAAGACCTATCGGGCTGTAATACACTACACACACACACACACACACACACACACACACACACACACACACACACACACACACACACACACACACACACACACACACACACACACACGCACACACACACACACACACACACACACAATCATACACACACACACACACACACACACACAATCACACAATCACACACACACACACACACACACACACACACACACACACACACACACACACACACACACACACACACACACACACACACACACACACACACCACACACACACACACACACACACACACACACACACACACACACACACACACACACACACACACACTCACGATCACGATCACAATCACACAATCACACACATATATACATATACATGTATGTATGCATGCACACGCACACACACACACACATATTTCTATAAGTATCAGTCTAATCTGCCAGTCGAGGGCCAGGCCACACCTGCACACAAGACAGACTGATAAGTTCCTATCGGTTTCCAATCACCAAAGATAACGTTCAGTAGGATAACACGCGCTTATGAAGATACATTTCAAAGGTTCAAAGGTTCAATGATTCAAGTCTGGTTATTATTTACGATTTGTGGCTGTAAAACGTTTGGGAAATTTACGATCTGTGTCGAAAAGTCAGGTTGTAAAGCATGGCAAAGGGGAGATTTTTTTCATTTGATGTGTTTTTTTCTTCTCTCTTGTTTTTGTCTGTCTCTTTCTCCTCTTCTCTTCGTTCCCTCTCTTCCCTTCTCCCTTTCCTTCTTCCTCTTCCCTCCTTCTCTCCCCTCTCCATATCCTCCCCTCTTTCCCTCTTCCTCTTCCCTTTGTCTCCTCTGTTTGGCCCCTTCCTCTCTCCCTCTCCCTCTCTACATATCCTTCCCCCTCTCCCATTCCCTCTCTCCCTCTTCCTCATTCTCCCCTTCTCCATAACCTTCCCTCTTCCTCTTTCTCTCCCTTTCCATATCATTCTCCTTGTCCTTCTTCCTGTCCCCTCCCCCTCCCCCTCCCTCTCTATCCCGCTTCCCCTCCCTCATTATCCGCCCCTCACCCTCCCTCTTTCTCCCCCTCTCACTCCCTCCCTCCCTCTCCCTCTTTCTCTTTATCCTACCTGTTCGCCTCCCTCCCCTCCCTCCCTCCCTCTCCCTCTTCCCTTATCCTACCTGTTCGCCTTCCCCCCCTCTCTCTCTTTCCCTTTCCCTACCCTGTTCGCCTCCCCCCCTCCCTCTCCTTCTTCCCTTTATCCTACCTGTTCGCCTCCCTCCCCCCTCCCTCTTTCCCTTTTATCCTACTGTCGCCTCCCCCCTCCTCTTTTCCCCCCTTCCCTCCCTCTCCCCTCCCCTCCCCTCTCCCTCTTCCCTCCTACCTGTTTCGCCTCCCCCCTCCCTCCCTCTTTCTCCCCTCCTCCCCCTCCCTCCCTCTTCCCTTCATCCTACCTGTTGGCCTCCTTCTCTTCTTGGCTCTTATGCTTCCGGTGATGAGACGCCCCAGGATGTCCAGGACAGGGCCACTCTGAGGCTCTGGCACTGATGGCTCCCGGGCGGTCCTGTGAGTGAGAGGGGAGGAGGGAAGGGAAGAGGGGAGGAGGTAGGGGAAGGGAGGAGGAGGGTGGGGGGGAAGGAGAGAACGGGGGAGGTTGGGAGGGGAAGAGGGGAGGGAGGTTGGGAGAAGGGGGAAGGAAGAAGGAAGAAGGGTGGAGGGAAAGGGGGAAGGAGGGAAGAGGGGAGAGAGGTTGGGGAAGGGGGGGGAGGGGTATGGGGGGGGGAGGGAATAGGGTAGGAGGAGGGAGGAGGGTAGAAGGTTGGGTAAAGGAGGGAAGGTGGTTGGGGAGGAGGGAGAGGAAGCGGGGAGGATGGGAGGAGGAGGAAGGAGGGTAGGGAGGAAGGACGGACGAAGGAAGGGAGAAGGAGGGAGAAGGTCGAGGTTGGGAGGAAGGGGGGGGGGAGGGCGGTTGGAGGGGTATGTAGGTGTTGGGGAGGAGGGAGGAAGGTCGGAGGTTGGGGAGGAAGGAGGAGGGAATTTCGATAGACAGAAGGGGTGGAAGAGGGGAAGAATAAGAAGAGAAGAGAGAATGGAAGAGGAAAATGGATAGCAATGGATAGGAGGTGGGGATTTAAAAGGAAAAAGGGGGAAAGCATGAACCAATTAAAAAAATATTTTATTTCGTTATGACTGGAATAGAATAAAAAAATAATGGCGTCTGGTTGGAAGGGAGAGAGTTTTCTAAGGAATTAAACTAATGTAAAATGGAAATGATATCAAACATAAATGAATAAGATACAATAAAAAAGAATTGGAATAATGGCCATGCTAAAATTCTTGCAAGACTAAAACATGTTTTTGTTGATAATGGTTGACGTAAATAAAATCAGAATAATGTTCCTAGATATTAGAATAATACAAATTGGAAATAAGTATAAATAAAATGAAATTGGAATAATGCTAATGCTAAAATTCATACACTATTAAATCACATTTTTGTTGACAGGAGAAAAAATCTAAATAATGATACTGATTAGACAAAATATATATGAAATATGAAGCTCATTTGAGGTTAAATAAAATGATTTCTTTGAAAGACAGTACCGATAAAATGTTTGTCAAGTTAATAATAATATAAAACTGAATAAGACATCTATAATATTAATGAACATTATATGGAATATCTAATCTTTATGCCTAATTAGATCAGAAATTGGAATTAATTGTAATATGCAAATATCAATATGAAGTAATATGCAAAATATCAATATAACCTTTTTATTCATGTTGTTGAAATATGCAACGTAATTTCATTGTAGATAACGATATAAAAATCTTGCTGATAACTGATTTATTTATTTATCAATGACTTTAGAGTTAATGATCAGTTACTAAAAATATTTTTATGTAGATTATATATACTGGGAACAGTAATAAAATATCAAATTGCCAAAATATTTAATTCTAGTCCAAGAAATATATGAATCTAAATGTAAAAC